AAGCCCTAGGCTTCTTAACAAAAGATTTAGTAAACAAGTTTTCCTCACACATGAATTACTGTTTTGTGTTCATAACATTAACCAATGGAGGTTGAAAGAAATGGTGAAAAGTTTAATGATGCTAAGCATCTGTAAGTGCAATGTATTAAAAAATAACAAGAACAGAAAATCCATAGTTCTATGGGTTTTTCAGTCTGTTGAACATCAAATCATATTTCCCAATGAACCATCTGCTTCCAAATTTCAAGCTCCTATCCATTTAATAAGCCTCTTCACCAGTGAAATGAAAGGTACACGCATTGGAATTAACAAGTATGTGAGTGTGTGTGTATAGTTTTGTTTTAAGATATTATACCTTTTCCTTATGATGAACATTGATGGGAGAAAAATAAATCAAATTAATGTTCTTATTCATGTGTAGACCAGAGAGAGGTTAATGTCTTGCCCAGTGTCACCAGATGCAAGGAAGTCTAAATAAAGGCTCCGATGTTTTCTCTCCATCCCCAACTGCATGTATCTCTTTAGCACTTTCTTGTCTTTTTTCCTGGCCAGATAGGGCTTTAGCCAGAGTGACCAGGAAGAGAGTTTGTATTTTTTTCTGACACAGGGGAACTTCTAGTCTCATTAGAACAGCCAAAAGAGGTCAGAAGGTCAGAGCTGTAAATTCAAATCTGTAAGACCTGCAGATGCTGGCTGCAGTGGTGTGAATAACTGTCACCTTTCCAGTGAATGAGCAGTCAGTTTGGGTTTCCGCGAGGGCAAGGTGCAGGGAGTCTGGAGCGGAGCTGTGGGTAGTGCCCATGATGTCACTCATCTTCAAAGCTGCCCAGAGTGAGTGGGGTCACCCCAAATCTGCACAAAGAAGACAAGGGCAACAGTGGCGAGAACTATATTATTTTTGTAGTATTAAAATTAACAGATGATCAAATTACAATTTAAATAAAGGGATCACAGCTTCAGGGAAGAGTTTAAATTCGTATCCTGGATTGCAGCAGTAGTATAGCCCCTAATTACATAAATAATACATGGATTAATTTTTATAGAAATGCATTGCCTTGAAAAATGCCATTGATATTTTGATAGGGACTGGATTGAGTTTGTAGATTTCTTTGGATAATATGGACATTTTAACAATGTTAATACTTCTAATCCTTGACTGTGGGATATTCTTCCACTTATTTGTACCTTCCTTAGTTTCTTTCTTCTGTCTCTTACAGTTTTTCTAATACAGTTTTTCTTTTACCTTCTTGGTTAAATTTATTCATAGATATTTTATTCAATGAATGAAGAGGATGTACAGCATCTATACAATGGAATATTACTCAGTCATACAGAGAATGAAATCTTGCCATTTGCAACACTGTGGATGATAGAATTATTCTAAATGAAATAAGTCAGATGGAGAAGGACAAATACTGTATGATTTCACTTATATGTGAAATCTAAAAAACAAAATAAACTCACAAAACAAAAGCAAACTCATAGATGCAGAGAACAAACTGATAGTCCCCAGATGTGAGGGGTGTCAGGGCGTGGGCACAAAGGGGGAAGGGAGTGAGAGCTACAAATTACAGTTGTAAAAATAGTCATGGGGCCCTGGCTGGCTTGATGGAAAAATGATGTTTCTCTCCCCTCTTTCTCCTTCCCTTCCCTTCTTTGGGTGTAAAGTATAGTAAAATAAATATAGTCGGTGATATTGTAACAACTAGGTATGGTGCCAGATGAATGTCTAATCATTATGTCGTTTACCTGAAACTAACATAATATTGTATGTCACCTATAACTGAAAAATACAATTTTTTAAAAATCTAAAAGAAGTCACAGAGTGAATGCGTTGTCTTACATACTTGTCTAGAATGGCGACCTGTGCATCCTCTCTGCCCAACCACACACTTCTGTGCAACCCTCCAGATGTTTCTGCCCTTAAGCTGTCGTGTCACTACAGAGACGCTCTAAATATGGATGTAAGCTTAAGGGTTTCATGATGCACTCTATCAGATTATTTGTGCAAATATGATTAGTGGAAGAGCCCATTATTGTACCATATACTTGGAATAATTTTTCATTATTCCCCTTTTTCTTGGTAAAAAGCTGGTTTTTATCCATGAGCAATAATTTCTCATGAGCCTCTGACAGTTCAAAGATCTTCAGCCAAACATACAGATATCTGTTGTCTTCACTGTACAAGGCATATGGAGTCTTTAGAAAAACTTGTTGAAAATAGAAATGTCACACCTGCAGATTCTCTTTTACTCACATACTGATTTCTCTTTTAAAAGAAAAATCTTCAATAGATGTAATCAACTCTGCACGCAGACCCTGCTTTCCTGCATCTCATGCTAAATGGGGAGGGTCAGCTTTTACCAAACACCAGCCATCCAGCAGCCTGTTTTCTTTGTGGAGAGTAATGCTACCCCCATCATGTCTTTATGCACAGAAGGGCGAGAGGTAGCGAGGCAAGAAAAGCCCTGCTTGTACCTGAAGGAGGGGATTGAAGAAGGCCAAGGGAAAGGATTGCCAAAGTGCTGTTCTGGAATGTCTGCTGTTCTGGAAGGTCTGCTGTGCTGTCCCTCGGGTACCCCTGCTACGGGAGCTCTGTGAAGGGAGGGTTTGCTTGCGTTCATCGCTGTATCCTCAGCATCCGGGAAAAGTCCTTGGTACCTGTGAGGTGCTGCATTAATACTTATACTCTAATAATACTTCTATAGTATATATTGTAAGTAATGTATATACTATAGTGACAGTTACATATTGTATACCTCAATAATATTAGAATGCTTATGTAAACTTGTAACTCACACAGGAATGAAATCGCTATTTTTATTATTTTTTAAAAAGATTTTATTTATTTATTTTGACACAGAAGGGAAGGGAAGGAGAAAGAGGGGGAGAAACATCACTGTGTGGTTCCCCTCGCATGCCCCCCACTGAGGACCTGGTCCATGCAACCCAGGCATGTGCCCTAGACTGGAAATTGAACCGGCAGCCCTTTGGTTTGCAGGCTGGTGCTCAATCCACTGAGCCACACCAGCTAGGGCTGAAATAGCTATTTTAATTTGGCGTTTATTTATTGGAGGGATGAGATGATTTATTTTCATTATACATTATTAAGTTAATATTTTTGTGTCATTATTGGTTCTTTTAGCTACTAATTAGTTCCTGGTCCCCATGTGACCTTTCTGCACTGAGGACAGGAATGACTCTGAAGGTGGGAGAATGGGATTTCCAAGAAATCAGCTAAGCTGGGGAGTGAACAAAGAGGCATCAGAAATAACCCCCCACACGTGCACACAGGTGTACAGCATAGATAGCCTATGGCCTGACCCTAAATCCTACTCTTTTGTTATGAGTTAACCCTCTGTCCTTTCCTGAAGTTTGGATCATGGATTCTAGCTTGCCTGTCCAAAACAGCCATAGTGACCCTTCAGAGTCTGCAGCTACCACACTTACCTCTAACATCAAACATATCAGTCATTGGTAGCCTTTCCTGTAGCTCCTACGAAAGATTCTTGTATTTGTATTTGCATGGACATTTACATTTACAAAGCGAATGTGACACAGCACTCCAGTATCGAATGCGGGGCCTTGGGTCACAAGGTATGAACGCATGCATTCCTCGTACAACAGGTATTTGTGGAAGTGTATCGTCTGGTTGACAGTGTACCCGGTACTACATCTGTGAAGCCCCGCCCCCTGGAAGGCTCCCAGAGGAGCGAGCAGGACAGCCGCACAGTAACAGTGCAGTGAGATAAAATCTCTAAGAGAGGGGCCTGCAAGGCCCAAGGGATCCAGAGGAGTCAGTGACTGTCACAGCTGGGAGGAGCAATCGAGGGAGGTTTTCCGGAGAGAAGATGCTTGAACGAAGTCTCAAAGGTCGAGAAGGGGTGTGTGTGAGAGCGGACACGAGGCATGGTGGGGTGGAGGGGGCGTTGTCAGCGGCATACCTGGGTTTTCCTCACCACGTCACTGGAACTAAAAACGTTGCTGACAGACTGTAAAGGAATCTTGAAAATCTCTGGGCAAACACTAAGCCCTTGCTCCGCGAAGTCTGGTCTGCTGACTCCACACTACCCAAGAGCAGCTTGGAAATGTGGACGTCAGGCTGACCCCAGCCCTGCGGAATCAGAACCTGCACCTCAACAACATGCCCAGCTGACACGCATGGACATTCACGTGTGAACTAGGGAACTAGTTTTCTCTGGAAGGTTGAATCTTCAGTTGGAGTTTTGGGACACTTGTTAAAAACTGAAACTGGTTCCTGAATGATGCAGTAAATGGATGAAGAGCAACAGGGGATCTATATGAAGCCGATGGCTATTTAGCTTGGAGGACTAAATCAGTCAGTTAGAAATTGACCACCATCTACGCCCAGCAGCTGTGACAGGGTGGAAAGTGTACTGGGCCAACGTGAAGTCGCGGGGCTTTTTCCGATGAGGTGTGTGATCTTAGGCAAACCTTTACGTTCCCTGAACATCAGTGACTGTGTCCTTTAGAGGCACCTCCCACACGCCAAGCAGTAATCCAGGCACTGACGTGAACACCCTCACGTTTCCTTACCTGCCGGCTGAGGGACAACAATCCCTGCCGCAGAGGGCTTCTCATTAGGATCCAAGGAAATAATGTGTACCGCAGTGCTTTGCAAGGGATAAATGCACTAGGTTGTGCTTTAAATATCTGCATAGGAAAATGCATATTACCCTTTCAGAATTTTCCCCTCTCTCCTTCCCTTCCCTCATAAATTAATAAAAAAAAAAGAAAATGCATATTTATAGAGCATCTACCGTGATCTAAGACCTGTGATAAATTTACCTAAGTTCAAAGATCTTGGTTATCATTGAAACAGGCAAGGCAAAACAGGTACATGGCATGTGTATTTTAAGAAGAGAGGTATTAAGGTAAAATGAAAAGCAGCACCTCCCACACGAAGCCTAGAGAATGTGTGGTGCTGCTCTTGTTGCCCAGTTGACCCCAGTCATCCTCTCTGCTTCCCACTCTCCCAGGCATGCGCCAAGGCAACGATCACGGCTCTCAGTACCGCTCAGCCATCTACCCGACCTCCACCATGCACATGGAGGCGGCCCTGAGGTCCAGAGAGGACTACCAAAAGGTAAGATGTCCTGCTGCTCCTGGGCTCCTCCGTCAGCCCCTGCCCTCTGCCCCCACCAGGTTGGACCCCACCTGTTGAGGGAGAGTCTGGTTCTTTTCACCTGGCACTGTGTTCTGTTTGCACGTTTTGGGGAAATTTCTGTCAGCCTCCTGGAATAGAGCCACTCTGCTCCATAAATGTGATAAATGAGATTTTAATAATAGGCCCTTATGCATTTCTCTTTGAAAAACTACTTAATGTATAGTCTTTCTTCCTCTCTCTTTGTCCTTCTCTGCCTCTCTCTCTGAATTTCTCTTTCTCTTTCTGTATTTGTTTTCATGGACTTTCATAACAAAGTACCACTGACTGGGTGGCTTGAGCAAAAGAAATGTGTTTTCTCAGAGTCTGGACGCTGGAAGTCCAAGATCAAGGTGTCAGCAGACTTGGGTTCCTTCTGGGACCCCAGGCCTCCCTTCTGGGCTCATAGATGGATGGCCCTTTTTCCTGTGTCTCTTCACACAGTTCAGCCTGGAGAACTTTCTGCCTTGCTCATAGCAGTAGATTGAATGATAATAAAAAAAATACTTCTCTGAAATACAGACATTATATCATAAAATAATTATCTTCCCTATTAACTTGCATTGTATTTTTTAAATCCCTTCCAATAGAGATTTAGTTCTTGTAAAAATAAGTTGAGTTGCTTTAATTTTTAGAAGTTCATGATCATCTTTAAATTTGAATTATTGTTCTATTTTCTTTTTAATAGTTATACTTATATCCACTTTATTTTTTAAATTAAGTTACATCTAAAAAATTTTTAAGCTACAGTTTACATTCAGTACTATTCTGTACCAGCTTCAGATGTACAGCATGGTAGTTAGACAGTCCTGCACTTCACAGAGTGGTGCCTTCCGTATTCCTGGCACCCGCCTGGCTCCATACATGGTTATTACAATAGTATGGACTACATTCCCCATGCTGAAATCTCTGTCTCTTCCGTAAGCACCAGTTTGCACTTCTCAGTCTGTTCACTTTTTTTACCCAGCCCCGAACCCCCCCTAATCTGGATTCACATTTAACAACAGAGCTGGTAGCTACTGTGATGCTTATCTGTTTTACAATTATGTGAATCGTCTGTGCAGCGATTCCCAGGAATGTATGGGTCCTCCCCCTATCTCCCAGGGTGGCAGAGGTGACAGTGGGACAGAGGCAGTGATGACAGTACATCACTGCACTCTCCGCACCCATGCCAGAAAGTTGAGAGGCCGTGCAACTTGTGGTCAGCATAACTCTGAAAGCAGAGAGGGCTAAGGAGATGCTGCTGGGGCCCCACTCCTCCCTCAGCACGTCCACCCCCACCTCGGGGAGCTGGGCTGTCTACCTGGTGATAGTCATAGGCAGCCTCTAGCATGGCCCTCTGTGGTCTCTGGCCACGTGCAATCCCTTCTCCTTGTGTATGGGCTGGATTTTATAACTCTCTTCCATTGAATGACAGAAGGGGTGGGATGTTTCCTCTGAGGTGAGTTGGTTAAAGATTGTGACTTCCAGCCAGGGGTCCCTTTCTCCCTCACTGTGTCTCTTGGATCGCTTGCCCAGGGGCAAAGCAGCAGCTGTGTCTCCAGGCAGCCCTGTGTAAAGGCTCACGTGGCAAGGGGCAGAGGCCTCCAAGAACCACTTGGCGAGCCTGGAAGCCCCTCAGCCTCGGTCAGCCCTTCAGATGAGATCGCAGCCCCAGCTGACGACGTGGCTGCAGCCTCATGGGAGACCTCAAGCCAGAGGCACCTAACGAAGTTGTGCTATAGAAACCACAAGATAGTAAATGTTTATTGTTTTAAGCTGAGTTTAGTAGTAATTTGAGTCTATTTATATTCCTGTCCTAAAACACTTTTAATTATAAATTATTCTTTCCCATGCCCCTTTTCATCATGACTTGTCTGGTGAAGGTGGGCTTCCGTGGTGGCAGCTAAGCGTGGAGCCTCTGGCATCACATGGTCTAGTTTGCACATCAGCTGAGTAAATTTTTATCAAGCGACTGACACTGAGAAGCCAGTGCCAGCCTATCTACTTATCTACTCAAGCAAACCTGTAAGGGCGAGAGACCTCATTATGATCCCCACATTTCAGATGCCCGGCATCATAAGGTTAAGTCAGTAGAGTAACCAGAGTTAGAAAAATAAGATGACACAGAGAGATGAGTTGGGCAGCCGTTGTAAGACTCTAGGCCAGAAATGAGGGGCTTCGACCAGGATGGGTAAAGTCTGAGTGGGATGAGGGGTCCTCAGGAAGTGCAGCTCCTGGGACTTGGAGCTGATTGGAAGCGGAGGACACGTGGGAGGGAGGAGTCCAGGACGACTTACACATGTCTGGATGGCGGCGCTTTGTGTGATGGTGTGGAGGAGCAGAAGCAGATGTGTGGGGAAGGGAAGGGAAGTTCAGAGATTGGAGTTTGAGCTGCCCCTGATATGGGCCTCCCGTGGTCGCTCCTGCCTCACAGGGAGCGTGGCTTTGACCATTAACTGGGTCAACGCCTGGGAAGTACCCGGCCTGGCACATAGCAAGTGCTCAACAAATGGCAGCCCGTGTTACTGTTGGGAGTTTACTGACACTTGGTAAGTGGAGCCCAATTGCTGATAGAATCACTTAGGAAGAGTGGTAAGAGATGGGTGGAGAAGGCCTAGAACTGAATAACACCAGCACTGGAGCACTGGGTGGGGCAGTGCCTGTGCCAGGCAGGACGCTGGTCTGGACGCAGCAGAGAGACAGCCCCGAGCCAGAACTTAAACATGGTGCTGTATGGTTTAATCTCACAATATGTAATCACAAAGGCAGTCTTAGTAGTTAATACGTAAAGTTACCTATAATTCATGCTATGTATAAATGGACTATTGTAATGATTCACATTCCCGTAATATAGTAACACTAAGACCCTCTGGAAGGATATTTCCCTCCAGAATATCTCAAAATGAGCTGGCATGTTGGGTTTCACAGTTTGAATTTTACGTTTGAAAGGTTGGCGCCTTCCTGTGATGATGAGGGGCTGTCACACCCCTCATATTCCAAGTTCTATCCCAGGACAGTTTCTTGCCCTTGGCTTTGAGTGGAACCCACACTGATTTTAGATGACTGACACACAAATGAGATAAAATTTAGATAGTGAATATTAGTCAACTGTCTTAATACTTCCTCTGTTATTTTTGTCTGTTTGCTCAATGTTAATCTTATAATCTTATATTCTAGACAGTTGTTCTAACCCAATGCTTGTTGGGTGTTCTGTACCAAAGCATACAGGACTTAAATACAAATATTCATTCATAAGTACATTTTTTGCTTGGTTTTTGAAAGTAGGGTCTTATTTGCATAAATATCAGGGTTGCAAATGTGTCCCCATCAACCAGATATTCATCGCTGTTAATGAACATAATCACATACAACTGCTCTCTCACTGACTCGGAGAACAGATCCTGGCCCATCTCTTTTACTTGGTCACATCAGTAAAACTGGCCTCGGATGGCACTGAAGGCAGGGGGCACATCAGTCTGGCTCCCGGGCTGGGACCCTCAAGACCACAGGCCTCGTGTTCTAGCTCTGGCTTGTTGCCAGGACGTGGGGCTGCCACGGAGCCCAGGTCCTCGTGGGCAGCAGAGCTGCTGCACAGGAATCACGCTCTCCTGCCTCTTTCTGGAGGCGCAGGCCAGGCCGGGCAGCCCACCACAGTGCCTCAGGGACAGTTCACCACAGTCCGGTGACTTTCTGGTGCCTCTGTTAGAGCAGAGAAAGAGAAGCACAAGTTTAATTTTCAGCAGGAATCCTGCTACAATTACACAGTTACATAATATACAGTTATATATGTACTTTATACAGTATATTTTATATATAGTATATGGGTAACTAAGTAATAATAATACTGGTAATAGTAGAATAGCAACAACAGTACCAACTGAGTTCTTACTACATGCTAATTACTGTTTAAAGCCCTTTATATAAATGAAGTCATTTACATATCTGTGACTATATTTACCTCTATACATACATAAATAAAATGGATATGTTTATATTGAGGTATTTATGTATCTCTCTTTATGTAAAATTGTGTTCATTCATGTATCTGTTTCTAGTTTTGAAACTTCTGTAGATTTCTAACTGTCCATTCAATTGATATAATCAATAATAGACACACCCCCAAAAAAGAAATCAATAATTTGCAGTGTCTGTGAGGGGCGACATTATTAGCTTTTACACCATAAAGAAGCTGACCTGTGACCCTAAACTAACCTGAAAAGTCATGTCGTTTCCAATGCTCCCGCAGAGCAGGGAGCAAGTCTCGGGCAGCACCTGTCACCTTCCCCCGGGGCGAAGGGTACGAGGACACTGAAGAGGGGCCTTGGCTTCCCTGGGTTTTCCGCCTCCTGTAACCTTGAACAAATTTCCTGAAACCGCAGAGGCCTTCAGGAGGAGGAGTCATTTCTCAGCAACACTAGATCAGGGTGTAGGACTCTGTCATCTCCTCGTCAACATCTAGGTTTATTCCTAAGCATGGGGAGATTCTGCGGATGACTCCTGCCGTGTGTTTCATGTCTGGGTACTGCTTTCCCCTCTAAGAGGTGGCATTTCTGGCCCTGTGACTGTGTTCGGGGAATTCATCTTACTCGGGCCCTGGGGGGACCCCTACGTCCTAACTCTAACATTGACTTAGGTTCCTAATTTAACGGTCTTCACTAGTTTGCCTCCCCCCCCCCCCATGACCTCCTAGTAACCAGCTTCTTCAGCAACTTCTTCACACGCGAAGTTTAGAGGGACGGTATTGCTTACCACAGAGCAGCCATTCGAACATAAAATTGGCTGATTTTATCACAGGGACCAATTGTTGAGCTAATTAGATGTGCAGTACTGCTGAGGAGCCAGAAACCCAAAGTGATTTTCATCTTGACTGTGGTCCTGTGCGAAGTCGGCTGGGTTGCAGACCCCAGGCTCACTGACGGCCCAGAAAGGAGGGGCGGCTGGAGCGGTTTCCGTTCAGACTA